GGCACGACTGGAAACTCATGCAAAACTCGCCGTTGGCTCTGACCGCCTACCGGTCGGCGCCGGTGGCCTATTCAGCCAACGCCTCAACTAAGGGCCAGTCGTTCAAAAGGCGGCAGACTATGGATCGCGTGTCGTGTAAGTCATACGACGTGTTGCGCCGAATGAATAGAGCGCCCGATTATGAGGCGCTCAGCGATGCGGTTGTGGAGTGCGGACCGACGCCTGTCGCTACAGACGACGCGAATGACTGCCCAAAAGGACAGTTGTGTTTGTATAACCTTCGGCACGATCCGTGCGAATACTATAACCTGATCGACGAAACGGACCCCGAATTCGTGCGATTCTTATGGAACAAATTTGTCACATTTAACGGGACATCAGTGCCGCCCCTGTCGCTCGTGCCACTCGATCCTAGAGCCGACCCGAGCCTTCATAATAACCGATGGATTAATTGGTTGGACACCGGGGAACAGGCAGATCAGGTGGACGGGAGTGTTGCCAACAAAGTGGAACTATGATACTGTAGGGGAACTGGCAAATTGACCTAAACTTAAATAACTTAATGACTAATAGACTTTTGACCATTGTAAGGATAGGTAAGGTTAGGTTAGGTCAAGGGGAACAATTTACACTGGTCATCAGGTATATTTATCTACTGGTCATTAAGTTATTTAAGTTTAGGTCAATTGGTTTTTAGGTCAATAGACCCGCACCCTACTGTAGTTCTTAAAACTACACTTTGAATGTTTGCATAACATTTGTTATGCATTCCTTTTGAATGTAATTTGATACTAAAATTCAATGTTATTTTTTGGCAAAAGTTAATACATTGAGTCTATGGGAGAGTTCTTTATATTAAGTCATTCTCAACTCAGCTCTCATATCCTTAACTCTAATATTATGTAATAAGTATTTTAATAAATAAGTTCAAATAAAATATTTAATTAATAAGTCTAACGGTCACTACAATACTGATTTGTAGCTGCAGAGTATAAACATTGTCAATATAAGTGTACTATTTGTATGTCTTCAGTGGCGAAGAAGTCACTCAATGTGATACCTCGCGGGTAATCAATAGGTGCGCCCTATTGGCCGGATGTGGCGTTCGCGTCCATACCAAAGGAGATCTTATGTCTTAATAGTTAAGTGACCGCCAGACATGCGACCTGTTGTTCGTGGGCTTCTCCTGTGGCGCGCGGGCGATGGTGTGCCGACACAAAAGTTATGGCAACGGTGTGGCATTCGTCTGAGAGTTGTATCATGTGATGAACGCAAAGAGTTTTCTTATAGACTGCGATGGCTGTGCGGGGGTTAAGCTCGGAATGGATGGTTTGATAGGCTTCGAGGCACAAGACTGCCCTCTTTGACCTTCGGCTCCTGTACCAGAAGGACATCAATGTGTCTTTCTTTGGCTATTGGTCTTGGGTCATTTGACCTAGCAGTCATTTCACCTACAAATATTCAAAATTTCACTTTTACCCTCATGCAGCTCAGGAACAAAAAATAAACTTTCAAAAAATTCATAAAGTACGTCTTTATATATCTACTTTATTTATGAACGAATTAATTTTAAACGTTATTTTCGAATTCCTTACTTAACCTTACCTAAAAATGTTTGCATCCATAAATAACGTGTTTGAATTTCTAGGTCAAATGACTGCTAGGTCAAATGACCGAATACCCTTA